GTGTTCCTGTCGACAACAGTGAGGTCAACATCACATCCACAGTCTTTTTAAGTTTGCATACCACTCTGCATCTGTTGTGGGTTCTTTTAAATTTCATATGAATAAATCACTGCTGTATCTTCCAAGTTCAAGAAAAAAGAGTTGTAGTCCTGATTTTAAGTGATTTAGTTATTCGTTAATTTGCTATGTGACACTCTAGCCCACTCTATACAGGAACAATATAATGTAGCAGAATGTAGAATGGTGTGCAATCTAGAAGCGTCCATTGAAGTTTTATTTTGTGATGCAATACTTTGGCTAAAAAAAAAAACCCAAACAACTTATTTTTAATAAGTATTTATTCTTTGTGTAAGATTCTGTATCTCTGCTAAAGGCTGAAGAAAGTACCTGTGAAAGCTGAAAAGAGGAAGGTCTGAATTGAAAGTGTTGCTTATTGGGTCCTGTTAACTCTTTAGGGGTGAAATCTAATATCTAAGCACAGTGGCATCTGATAAATTTTTAAGCAGATAAAAATGGTTGCATAACAGCTGGAATTTTAAACTACTTTGTTTAAATTACCCATCTACCTACTTAGATTAAGATTAGTAGGTGGTGTTGTGCATGTGGTCTAAATTGTAAAAATTTATTAATAGATGGATTTCTTACTGTGGCACATATTGTACCTTGCAGATACTTGGTTACTTTGACTATGCTTTCACAGCCATCTTTACTGTTGAAATCCTGTTAAAGGTAATGCATTGTTAATTGATCCTTGTTAGCTCAAAAGCAGCTTTAGCAATAATGTTTGTAACTTTTTGTTTACCTTCCAGATCCTAGGGTATGCAGATTATGTCTTCACTAGTATGTTTACATTTGAGATCATTTTGAAGGTAACAGGTTTTTAAAGGAAGTTTGTTTAAAAGGATTTTCCTTGTGTGTCACCTGCCAAGAAAAGGCACTTGAAGTGTTCTTCGCCTTTTCTCTACGCGATCAAAGCTAAACTCTTTTTAAACCAGAGGATTTTTTTATTTGACAGTTCCTCATAGTTTTGATTGGTTATTTTTTACCATTGGGTGCATGAAGAAGCTGGTTTTTTATCATTACATCAATTTAATAATTCATTTTTTACCCTTTTTAAACTTATAGTTGTCAGAAAAGGGAAAAATAATTCACTGCGCATGAGCTTTTCCTTCTCCTTGCTCTGGCACTTCAAAAAGAGATAATCAGTCTTTTAAACAGAGAGCATGTAATTTCTCATTTCTTTCGCTGAATTATATTCGCAGAGCTAAAATAGTAGATAACTATTTTCTTGCAATAGGACTTGCAAGATATCTTGCATTTATCTGTCCATATACTAAGATACTTTGCATTTATCTTGGGCATACATTTAAATACACAGAAAGGCATAAATATGCTTGCTTAAATGTATTACCCGTGCATGAGTCAAAAATTGGCATTTTAATGTATAGTTTGTGTACTGATTATTAAGAATATCCATTGGGGTTACTCAGATGTATGAGGCTTACTCTGGCAAAGAAGCTGTATAACTGAGAATTAGGTTCACATATAAAAAAATGCTGAACAAAGAAATCAAAATTTTTGGTGGGAATTTGTGTAAATCTCTGAAAAAATATTTCACATTTCCTAAAAGTTTCATGCTGTGCATATTCACCATGAGTTTTTGGTTGAGTAACCCTGATCTATACACTTAAAAATTTCTGGTACTGTAAGAATCTGTACATAAACTTTGCATTTCCAGTTGAGGATTAAGCTTAACAAAATCTCTTCTCCCAGCTTTTGCTTATATTGCTGTGCACACTCTTCACAATGCAATTTGATTAATACTAATTGATGCAGTATTTGGGCTGTTTACAAGATAAGCTGTACTGTAAATAATAGACTACTTCTATGCTTGCAAATGTTTTCCCAGACTTACATTTATAGCCTTATTTCTCATTTTCAGCAGCGAGGAGTTTGCTATAGAATTGATTCATCTTATAAAATTTGTAGCATTCTAAAATAAATATCCATTTTTTTCGCTGCTAGAGAAAGGCCAAACCGACGGAAAGAACGAAGCACTGAAAAGAACCGTAGCATTAGATCAGACTAGTTCCCAACTCCGAATTTGAGAAGCCATACAAAATATGTTATCGCCATTTCTGTGGCAGAAGAGAGTTGGTAAACTTCCACATGCTCTGATCAGCAGGTTGTATAGCTCCGGCAGTTCCAATTGCGTTTCTCTAGGAGGCAGAGGAGTTATAAAGCATGGCATAAAGAGACATAACTGGATGTGTTAAGAAAAGCAACATTCCTGTGAATTGCAAAAGATTCTGACACTGAGCGAGTTACCCAAGGGAAGTAGGAAGCTCTAGAGCTTGGGCTGCTGAAATCTGGCATTGTAAAATATTACAAAGAAACAAGAAGCCCTATCATAGCCAAAAACGTTGATGCTCCTGACTCCACTTTCTCCAGGAAGCTCTGCCCTGCAGTGCACTCACTTGTATTTATAATGAAAATAAATTACAATGTAATGGACAACCAGAACATGACACACATACGTATACAGTGCCTGCTTTACTAACATGTCTCAGACACTGGCTTTGCTTGCTTATGGCTGGAGTCCTCCATGTTTTCCATGCTGGGTTTTGCCCTGTGCTTTCCACAGTATCTAAGTTGTGCAGAAGCTGTGTATGTTCTGCAAGGAGTAAATTCAAGACTAGACCTGCAGTAACAATAGCATTCCTTAATTTCCAGGCAAAATGTATGTGAAACTGAAATTAAGATAACCAGAGGCAATATTATCAGCTGCAGCAAAGAAACTTGTAAATGTCCAAAAAACAAGCATTAAAACAGAATAACTGTCAGCATTTGGAGTGTCTCCCTGTGCTTTCTTATTGACTGCTCTGCAGACATGAGGATTTCCACATTATATGGTGTTGAGTATATGAATGAGGATATAAATAACAGAAAAGCTGCAACATCAGTTTAAAGCATTTAAGAATTCTCTTATGTAATCCCTACATGGCATTGAAATCCAGCTTACCATCCTGTTTGCAGTACTTGGGAAATGTGAAAACATTGGAGCAAAGATCAGGTTAGGACCTTGTGCTTTTAACCTTGCCCAGCTGTGCTAATCCCACACCATTTAAACCATTCCCCACTGGTGTGGAATTACAGGCAGGAGGAAAAGAGCAGCACTGGTGGTGCCCCAGGCGCTCAGCTCAGTGAATGTCCTGCAGCATCTGCTCTGCTGAAGGCTGTGTGGTGGTGCTCACCACCTCAGATCTGCTCTAGGCTTTGCTTTGGTCTTGATCTGTGTGAAGGATAGAATGATTTCCTATAGAGAGTCAAGTGCTTCCACTGGGATTTGTAGTGACTGAAGTATGAGTCTCCATATAAAGATGGGGAGATATGTACTTCACCTGTATTTTTAATCAATGTATCTTTACTTTTGTGGGAGTCTTTACATGAAACTTTGTGTGCTGCTAACTGATAACATACTACAGTGTAAATGAGTATTTGTAGATATTCTGTAGGTTTGATATTCAAGGCTATTTTAGTGTTCAACTCCTGCTGATTTTAATGAGTTTAGCCATACCCTACAGCTATAAGTGAAAAGAGCTAGGAATTTATTGGAAATTTTATACTATAGTTATATTAACTGTCATGTCATGGCATAGGTTAAAACTTTAGGATTTTTATTCTTCTAGTTTCGAGGAACATTTAAGTTTTTGATCACAACAAAAGCAAGTTTAACATGAGAATAAGGAGAGAAGGGCTTCCAAGCAAAATGCATCTTTTGTAGTTTGCATTCCTTTGTAGATATATAGCTTTCACCGACACTGATGGTTTTTCATGCAAAAGGCCTGCAAGTTTGTGCACACGAGTAGCGACACAGTAGACCGAGGTGCCCATTGACAGTAGCTCTGTTTTACATTGTGGAACAGTCCTGAAAGATGTAATAGTCTGCTGCAAGAGGAAAGGAAATGAAATAATCTCACTCCATCTTGAGGAACAGAATAGAAAGTAATGGGTTTAAAATGCACAGTCAATATTAGATTTTCTTTGGCTGGCATTGAGTTTTCTTACTGTGGAAAACAATGAGTAGCTGAAGTACTCAAGTCTTTTTAAGAGGACCTCAAGGCTGAAGAAATTAGAATCCATGTGCCTGAACTGACTACTAGGTATTTTTCAAAGATGTCCTTATTTTAATTTCAAGTTTTTAGTTTCAGTGTTACAGTCTTAATCCATAACTATGGAAAAACCCATGCAAAATTCTACTCCAGTGCAGATTCTGTGCTTCTAATGACTTAACTGGATTCCTCTGTGCATTTTTTAACTGGTACTTGCTTGCAGTTATGGTGAGGGTCTAATTCATAGATTTAAGAGCCAAATTCAGCTTTGCAATACCTGAGAACATCTGCCCAGATTCTGTCTGCAGCCGTAATTAATAGAGCATCTATTGCTGCCTTCTGGTGAAACCTGCAAATGATGCATGCAGGTTCCTTCACAAGATACCCTTTATGTGCTTCTTTCATCTTAATCTAGGCGCAGAAAGCAAAAATGAAGAGAAAGTCCAATAGGAAGAGCAATGTTTGATACTCCTCACAGACCAGCAAAACTTGGGGACACTTGTCCAGACATAACACAAAATGATCTATGGGTTGTTCCAGGCTATTTCAAGATACCCACACATGATCTTAGCATGTCTCCTGTGAGCCAAAGGCAAATAGCAGGGTAATGCTGCCTTATGACAGCCTTGTGCTGGTTCTGTACCAGACTAGATTTGACTCTCAGGTTTTTACAATACATTTTCAGCTCCTTCAGTTCTCAAGATAGTATGAATGATTAGGAGTCAGAATCTGGACATTACAGTTTAGTGAGCATGGAAATTTTATGGTTCTTGTAGTCGTTTTTCTAACAAAGGCCAAATCAATTCAGTGTAATCACCTCAGCCTAATCAGTTCTTACACAAAATATAAAATTTATTGACATCAAGAAACAATTAACACATTTGCTGGTGTTGCTTGAGCAGAATTTTTATTTAAATGAAAATTATTTAAATGAAAGATGTAATGTACATAGTAGGATTCTTTATATCTCAATTGCTTTTAGAAAGTGAGATAATCTTGTATGCATTCCCACTCTAGGCAAGTGTCTTGTAAACAGCCTAAATGTGAATTTGAATAAATTGAAATATAGACTAAACGTGTGACAATTCTGTTTTTAGATGACAGCTTTTGGAGCATTCCTTCATAAAGGGTCCTTCTGCAGGAATTATTTTAATTTGCTGGATTTGCTTGTTGTGGGTGTTTCTCTGGTATCATTTGGTATTCAGTAAGTACTATACTTATAATGCGAATGATTTCTTTTTGCTTTGGAGTTTTATACTAAAATCAGTCTTCCAGCTCCTTTTGTTCCCTTACTGTGTGTGGCTGTGCAGTTATCAGTATTCAGGGTTGGCACTGTGTTGTGGTTTTAGCCGCTGTCGGCAACCAAGCACCACACAGCCCCTTGCTTACCCTCCCCTCCCCCTGCAGTGGGATGGGGAGAGAATTGGAAGGGCAAAAGAAAGAAAACTCGTGGGTTGAGATAAGAATAGTTTAATAATTGAAATAAAATAATAATAACGATAATAATAATTGTAATAAAAATTGTAATGTAAAGGAGAACAATGAGAGAGGGAGAAACAGAACACAGGAAAAATAAAAAAACAAGTGATGCAACCGCTCAGCACCCACCAAACGACAGCCAGCCAGTCCCCAAGCAGTGATTGCTGTCCCCC